TCCTATATGTATAGTCATACATGTGCGTAGTAAAATGGACGAACGAAAAAGGAATATCACTTGAAAAAGGAAAACGAAAGGAAAATATATATATATATGTAACTGTGAAGGCTGAAAGCCTGTAACAGACATGCAATTGCAGGAGTTATAAAAACGTTAAACTTCACAGTATCCCCTAATAATGTCTCAATGGCTTATCTAATCTAGATTTCGATAATTCACAATCAGATAAAGTCCGACTCTTATCAAATAGTATTATTTCATCGAGAAGTGAAACCAATCATAATAATCTGATGCCTGAAGGTAAATTATCAGAAGTTAAGTGAAAATAATCATATTATTAATATGATCATGCGTTGTCGTTAAGTACAAAATATAACGTTTTTGAAGATCGTTTATAGCCATCGAATGCTTCGCACGACACAGCTCGGGCAGTTGAACCAGCACTACTACCTAAAACAGTCAAATACAAGTATTTTAATCTTAGGTTGAAGCTACTTACCTTGATTATAATAGCCCAAATTCGTCAGCGATAAGTCGGCTTCCTTCATTAATAGAAATTTTGAACCAGCTACCATTTCCTTATGAATTCTGCAGCTGTAACTGCATGTAAAATAGATCGCTGATTTTTTCTAAAATACACTTCCGGAAAGAGTTTTTCAACTAAACTGCAGCTGTCTTGCACCATGTTAATCAAGTCTGATCTATCACTACCTAGAACAAGCCATGTGCAGAAATCTGGAAGACGCATCTATAAATTCAAAAACCGCTATGATAATTCGATTGTGGAGCTCGGACCAGTGTTAGTTGGCTGTCCACGTTCCGCTCTTCGTAACAAAGGTCAGTAAATAAAAATGGTATACTGGTTGTTAAAAGCTTTTTCCTGTTACAGAACAAAATCCATTGCAGTTGTGTGAACAACACTTGAGCTGCCGGATGACGCCGTTGAAAATGGAATTTTATTTGAACGTTGTGAAGATACGATCGGTGATGAGTGTAACAATAAAAGAAATGAATTGAATGATCATGCGGAACGTGGCACATCGTATGGTACGTTAGTATGCTTTTATAACTGTGGCATTGTGATAGGATACGATGAATCAGTTCGGTCAGAGAGTCCACGCCGGCTACTTCGCCATCTTATTCGTTTGGCGAAGATTATTGAACTACCCAAGGGTATTATGTATGATAACGCGTGCAGTATTCAGTTGTACATGCAAAGTCGTTACGATTCGGATTATTTCAAACGGTCTCCAAGTGCAGATTATTTATTTAAGACCGTTCGTTTTGTACTTGACAATTTTCATCAACGAACACACAAACGACGTATGTGTCAAGGAAGAATGAGATCAAGTGATCCATCACATGGTGGCATGTTTGGTCAAATCGCAGAGCAAACTTTCAAATTTTTTGCAACTTTAAAACTCATTGGCGTGGATACTCATTCCCTAAGAGTTTTGTTAAGTATCTTATATTTCTTCATCTTTATAATTGTCATGTGAGCGGTGTTCAATTTTAAAACTTAAAAAATTTTAAAAGTTAAAATTGAGTTGCTTTACCTTTTTCAGTAGAACGATTGAAGGAATGAATATGCCTGATTTAGTGTTGAGGTAGTAGCTGATTTTTTATCCATGGGATTGTCTTATATGCTTTAGATGTCGATTACCATGAAACACAGCGATGTTACCGTCTCAAATTCGAATCTTAATGTTGCAACGGGTGATATTCATCTTGATTTGTCAGTCGCTAAGGATGAAATCGATTATTGCGAAGATATACCCATGTTGGATATATCATGCGACAAAAACCATATTAAACACCATTCAAATTCGTTAAACACGTCGTTGTCCGATGACAAACAACTACTACAAAGTGTGTTAAAATTTGAGATGGAACATGGTTTGTCTGAATCAATTTCGATACTCGTGGAATGTACGGACGGTGAACTTCTTACCTGTGCTGCTCTGATTGAGAAGTTTGAGAACGCCAAGGTATCGGTTGATGAACTACAACGGGCTACGGTGCATTCGGGGGCAGGTGATGCTCATTAAATCAAAATACACCATTTTTAATCAAGCTGTGCTTTTAGGAAGAGGTACAAAAAGAAAAGAATTCACCAGGAGCTATCAGCAATCCCATAAAAGGCAGTGCCTGCTTCAAGTGTGTGCTTGACATGTTCACCTCTCGTTGATCCTGTTCCGTGCCATATATCTGCAATTTTTCTAGCTTTTCTTTAGATATTTCGTGAAATGGATTTGGCAGATACGTCATCAAATACGGTACTTTGTGCATCATATTCGAACCGGTATGCCGCATTTCTATGCAGCAACAACGACAAACATGCGCCCTGCACATGTTTTCTGAATAGTTCCGCAGCTGGTCCTCTTCACGTTGACGCCGATAACGACAGTTTCTGATCTCAATATTAAACGTAGCTTCATTTTTTATCTGAAATAAAAGAACTCAAAACACGTTAGCCCCGCCAAACATAAACAAACACACTATCCAGGAAACCTAACAAAAACCAACGTCACAAGGTTTTCTAGTGCAAATGGTCTAAGGAAACAGTTAGCAGATATGACAACACAACCCGACCCCTGGATTTAGTGATATATGTTGACTACAGACATGATAACCCAACCTTACCCGACCCACATAGATAGAACTGTTTATCACTAGTGAAACACTGTAAGACACACATGACAACTCAATGAAACCCAACCCAGAAATTTAGTGAAATATGTTGACTACAGACAGGACAATCCAACCTTACCCGACCCAGAGATTTACTGATATATGTTGACTACAGACACGACAACCGAACCTAACCCGACCCAGAGATATAGACCTCTTAAACACTAGTCAGACACACATGGCAACCTAACCTTACCCGACCCAGAGATTTACTGATATGTGTTGACTATAGACAGGACAACCCAACCTTACCCGACCCAGAGATTTACTGATATGTGTTGACTACAGACAGGACAACCCAACCTTACCCGACCCAGAGATTTACTGATATGTGTTGACTACAGACAGGACAACCCAACCTTACCCGACGCAGAGATATAGACCTGTTAAGCAGTAGTCAGACACTACTAGACACACATGGCGACCCAACCTTACCCGACCCGGAGATGACGACCTATAGAGAAGACGGCTCAATCGAACCTTACCTGACCGACCGAAGCAGAATTCCTGATCAGTAGTGAGACACAGAACGCAGCATGAGCAATAAGTTGACCGTACGTGACTTTCATCGAACACCTAAGGAGTTACTATTTGCCAGCCTCTCTTCCTACAGCAAATACCTTCGGTCTACAGCAAAGGTTTTCATCTGTATGTATGTACAACTTTCGGAAGATATAGGAGAAATTTGTATTTATACTTCCCGCTCAATCTTCACGACATTTCGCACCTGTAAAAGGTTTCTCACGTGGACGCGCGTGAAACGTAAGAATTTTGTCGCTTGGAGTTAAGCGTGAATATTATTCACGAAATGGGTTGCGTGAAAAACTGACGTGCGAATAAGTGTGAAGATATTTTTCACAATGAAATTAGTGGAAAACATTTTCACGCGTGTCCGCAAGTGATATTTTTTTACGGAAATTTTAACTTGAGAAATTCACGTGTGGCCACTACACACTTCACGACTTTCACCTGTGATCACGTGCGAAAAATATGACGCGAAACGTTTTCGTGACCAGTTCAGCCGTTGTCACAAGTGGAATATACTTTTCACGCGTGCTCACACACCATTTTACGATGTTCACGTACGACCACAATTCATTTCACGATATTCACGCGTGTACACACCGCGGTACCTACTAAAATTTCCCCATGGATAATGTTTGATGAAAATTTCTTCATTATCATTCTCCAATACGCTTAGATCGTAATCGACAAGGTGGTTGCGCAATTTACGTGAGAAATGACTTTTACGTAGTTAGACTGAATGAATTTGAAAGTCCTGGGTTCGAAATGCTCATTGTACGTTTAACTCTTTCAAACAAACTGAGTGTTTTGATCGTGAATGTTTATCGACCAAAACTAACCCCTCCGCTATAAAACAATTAAAGGAGGAACTACGTAGAATTTTGGATGAAATTAATACATCAAAGTTTAACAGTGACAGAATTTTATTAGTAGGAGATTTTAATGCGCACAACAAATTGTGGTCTAATAATCACATTTCCTCCACCAAGGACGGTATTGAGTTCGCTGAATTCCTTGATTCTGTAACAATGTATCAGCTAGTTCGTGGGGTAACTAGAGATATATCAAATACATGTTTAGATTTAATAATTACAGATGATCCTTCTTTTGTCTGTGATCTAACTATCCATCCGCCATTGTACTGCAGTGATCATAACTTTCTAGAATTTAGAATTAACTCGCGCATAGCTTGTAAAGATAAAATAAAACGTACGATTTACGAATATAATGTTGTTAACTGGGACAGCATAAATAATCGTTTCAAGGAAATTCCGTTAGAGCAGCTTCTGAAAAATTATAACAATGTTAATGAGAGGTTGCAAGCCTTTGAAGAAATCTTAATTGATTGTATTAAGACCTATGTACCTTATAAAGAGTTAACTGTTGAACCACGAGACAAAATTTGGTTCGATGATAAATTACGTATTTTATATAAGAAGAAATGTAAGCTATACCGTAAAAGTAAGAGTTCGCTTTACTACTTGCAGTTGTATAAAGAAGTTGCTAAGGAATTTTAAGTAGCTTGTCTCTCTACGAAAGAAAACTACTATAAGAGAATAAACAAGAAAGTTCTTACTTCTTCTAAAAGTTGGTGGAGTTGAGTGAAACATACGTTAGGTAGAGGTCGAACAACTGCCAACGAAGTCCAACTTCTAACACGTATGATTGTCGATGTTGTCCCCTTGTCAATCGATCATATAATTGTTTGATTGTCTTGTCTTGTTGCTGTTGTTCTTGGATTTTGCTGGAGTCGAATGGTGAAGAGATAGCCATGTGAATGTTGTTAATTTGACCGTGCATTACTTCCAGCTGTTCTTCGACGATGTCATCCGGTTTTTCAATTGGATATCTGGATAAACAATCGGCAACACAATTGGATAAACCAGATGTATGTTTAATATCGAACGAGTATTCTTGTAGTTGTAATGACCAACGGTCTAGGCGACCATTCTTGGATGATTGTTTGTTCAGCCAGCATAACGGATGATGATCGGTAACAAGAGTGAATTCTCGTCCATATAAATACGGTCGTAATTTTGTAATACACCACACCATAGCCAAACATTCTTTTTCGACGACCGAATATTTTTGTTCTCGTTTGGACAATGATCGTGACAAATATTGAACTGGTTGTAGATGACCGTCTGGGGAGACTTGGTGTAAAACTCCGCCTATACCAGTATTGGATGCATCGGTATTGATCTTCACTTTTAATTTGGACTTTCCATTGTAGAATGCCAGTAATGGATATTGAGATAATTTTTCTTTCAAGGTATCGAACGATTGCTGGCATTCTCTTGTCCATTGGAATGTGGCATTTTTGTTCTTGAACATATTCAACGGAGCGGCGATGCTCGCAAAGTCTTTGATGAACCGGCGGTAAAATTGTGCCATTTGAACGAATGAGTAGGCTGCTTTAGTTGATGTGGGAGTCGGAAAATCAATGGTTTTCTTTACGTTCATTGTTGTTGGTTTAATACCATCTTGAGTGATGCGGAAGCCAAGATAGTCGAGTTGTTTTCGTGCCAATGAACATTTGCCTGCATTCAGTTTGACATTGGCTTTTTCTAATGCGTCTAGTACGAGGTCCAGATGTTGTACGTGTTTGTTGAACGATGGTGAGTATATGATTATGTCATCCAGATATACCAATGTTATATCCCACCGTAATGCACCCAACACCGAGTTAATTATGCGCTGGAATGTGGCGGGGG